GGCGGGGGGCGGGGGCAGCCGGCGGGGACGGGGACCAGCCCTGGCCACCGCCACGGGGGTGCGAGGCTGAGCCACCCAAGCTGCCGGGTGCCCAGCCCCCGGCAATGCCTGGTGGGATCCCTGTGGGCAGCCGGGCACCTTGCCCTGCTGGCAGCCAGGACACCAAGGAGGGCATCCAGATCGTGAGCGTGGCCTCGCTCTGCAAGGATGGTGGGCAGATCAGGGAGAACCTGCCCATGGGACTGCCCCCCGGGAATGGTAAGGCCTGGCTCCCCATGGTGGGGGTCGCCACCATGGCCAAGCCCCGGCAGTGCTGGTCATGGAAAGGGCTCCCTGTCCCCTGCTGGGAACCCACAAGGGCCTCGTTTCAAGAGGTTTCTCTCTCTGTCCCTTGCAGGCGATGATGGCTCTGCAGGTGTCCCCTCAGCTCTGGGGAGCTGCCCCCCTCCAGGGGTTCCAGCCACCCCCCCACAGCCCCTGCCCAGCCGAGGGCGGCTGGTCGCACCGCCCGCCAGGAACCCAGCCCTGATGGTGAAGAAGAAGATCGTGGACAGGGCTATCCTCCTGCAGAAAAAGGTAGGATGCCAGGCGACACAGTGGGATGGGAGAGCCTGTCTGCTCCGGCTGGGAGCCAGTGCGGTGCTGCCCGCCAGGGCGGCCCTGCACAGCACCCTGCTGCATCCAACCCATGCAGATGGGGCAGGCCACTGGGGACGAAGGGCTCCAGAAAGGTCCCCCCTGACCTCTGCTAACTGCACTCTGGAGTGATGCTTGACCCTGGCACTTGGCGAGCTCATCTGGGAAGTCCCTCTGTCCGCTGGGTCCATGGAGCGTGCTGCCCACCCACCTGCAGCCAGCACTCACTGCTGCCCTTGGGCGATACCGGCCACGGTGATGCCCGTTTCTGCCAGCATTGGCCTCCAACCTGCAGCTCACAGACCCTTTGTTTAAGGCTTGGTTTCAGTACCAGCTCAGGAGGTTCCCCAAGCCACCATGAGGACACCAGCAGCTGAGTGGCTTGGTGCTGCACCAGGAGATGAAGGGTTGTGGCAGGACAGGATAGGGTGACACAGTAGGATGGCTGCTCTCCGGGACACTGTAATCCCTATACAATCCAGCCACTATAATCCCTAATGCGTACACCCCCACCTTGCCATGCCACGAGACCCTCAGGCCATGGCCATGCATGTGTTGTCCCAGCAGGTCCAGATCTCTGTGGCCCTCCCACCTGCCACAGTGACCATGCAGCAGCTGGCCAGCTGCGTGGCCAAGCCCAGCCCTGCTGGCAGCTGCAGTGAGCCACAGGGCAAACATAAGTGACCCAGCAGTCCCAGGACCAGCCCCAGGTAGGCTGCCAGCAGGGCGACATGGCCATGGGGGTGCCCCAGTGCCCAGGGTTTACCCCTTGAGAGCAGGCTCCAACCTCCAGAGACTTCAGTGATGCCCCACAGAGGATAGTAGGACTCGTGACATTTGCCTTTCTTGCCATGGCATCCTGGGTACACAACACAGCCGTGAGTCAGGCTGAGCCGTCATCCACAGCCCTGTCTCTGCTCAGACACAGCAAACGCCTTCTCCAGTCCATTCAGGTGTTTGCCAAGAGCCCTTGCTAGCTGCTTGAGAGGACACAGGTTGTGCAATGCCCTTTCCAGGAGAAAGGCTCCCCTGAGGTTCAAAACCAGCACGTGATCCCTCTCAGGGAGCAGAACAGCCCTTTGCTTCAGGGTGCAGTACAATAAACAGAGGCGGGGGCGGGGGGGGAGGGCACTGGAAAGAAAAAGCCAGGCTGTGGTATTTCTGTCCCTGCAGAGAGCAAACACAGGCCTGGCATCAGCACGGGCAGTCTGGCTGATGTCCAGGAGCATCCACCACTGGGTGGCTTAAGCACATACTGACAGCATTCAGGGCAGCGTGGTGTTCCTGCCGAGCAGCGGTGTAGGGGCTGGGTGGGGATGAAGTGCACCTCAGAGTGTGGTGAGGTCCACAGGTCTGAAACAAGGTGATGGCTTTCTCTCATGCCTTGTAGAATCATAGAATACCAGGTTGGAAGGGACCTCGGGGATCATCTGGTCTAACCTTTCTTGGCAAAAGCATGGTGTCAACAAGATGCCCCAGCCAAACCTTACAATTGTCCAATGTTGGAGAATCCACCACTTCCCTGGGGAGGTTACTCCAATGCTAATTGTTCTCATTGTGAAAAATTTTCCGCTTATTTCCAATTGGAATCTCCCCAGGAGTAACATGTCCCCATCCCCCCTCATCTTTTCCATATGACTCCTTATAAAAAGGGAGTCTCCATCTTCTTTGTAGCCACTCTTTAAATACAGGAATGTGGTCTTAAGGTCTCCCCTAAGCCTTCTGTTCTCAAGGCTGAACAAACCCAATTATCTGAGCCTTTCTTGTAGCTAAGTGCAGAATAAATCCTTCTCTTGCTCATTGCCATTAAAGGACCAGCTGATAATGCTTCACCTTCCCTTCTCTCTTGCCTCCCACTACTCCAGCTCAAAGACGCCAGCACTCAGACTGTCCCGCCGAACCCTGCAAGTCCTGGAAACCAAAGCCTTGCTTGGGGTGGACCAGTGCTTCCCCCTGCTCCCAGCTCCCATGCCATTGCCGAAAAGCTGGATGCTGTACAGACGGAGATCCAGAAGCTGAGCCAGGCTCTGCAGGTGGTGCTGGAGAGGCAATGCCGCCTGGAGCGCCAGCAGGAGCACCAGCAGCGGCTGCAGCAGGAGGTGCTGATGACGCTGCAGCAGCTCAGCTCCACCGTGAGCCACGGCACCGTGCCAGCGAACCAGCCCTGCGTCCCCTTCAGCAGCATGGCCAAGCCCTCGCCTACTGTGCCAAACTTCAGCCAGTTCAAGATGGAGCTCATCTGAACTCAGACAACGCCAGTGCACTCTAGCAGCGCTGTGCTGATGGCAGGATGAAGTCGTGAAGAAGAACCACCTCTCAAGAGGCTGTGGCAGCTGCCTAAGGATTGTGTGGAGCACCCAGGGGAGAAGGTGACTGGTGCCTCATGTTTGCAGCTCTGTTGGCAGAAAGGGGCTGCCTGGCAGAAGGGGCAGGGCAATGGCCTTGCTTCTCCCATGCTGCCCATCCTGTCTGATGCTGGAGCTGGCTGGTGGCCCACGGACTTCAGCAGTGCAGGCTGGCTGCCTGCAAGTAGAAGGCACAACTAAGAGAGAGACACAGCAGGGAGGTGGGTCTCAAAGAAAATGCAAGGCTTCCTGTCATGAGGGTCAGTGCTGTGACGATCAATCACAGAAACGCTTTGTGCCCTCTTTCTGCAGAGCCTTGTTCAGTAAAAATCTCTATACACCATAGTTTAGAAACAGTGTGGGACCTCTTTCTTCATTGTACCTACCCCTAGCCCCACCAGTGAACAGGCTGGATCTTTCTTGAGTGCTGCCACCATGCTTGGAGCTGCTCAGGGTGCTCTAACCCATGACGTGAGACAACCGCTCCACACATGAAGGATGCTACCAGAGGCCTGGCATCACCTGCCACGCCATTAGGGGTATATCACACTTGTGTAGGAAATAATCTTCTACTGAGCAGATTCCACCTAGGTCACCCTCCTCACCCCAAAGTCTCAACAGATGTGGAGTCTGGCACTGCTCCTGCCCACTGCCTGGCCAGGACATGGGCAGTGCCATATGAGAAAGAGTTGCACCTGTGCATGAGCTGGGTATTTATCTCTCTTCTAACTCCTTTTTCGAGGCAGGACATCCTCCTGGCTGTGGTCCCCAGTGGCAAGGGCTGTCCCTGGTGCAGGCTGCTGGTGGTGCAGAGCTCCTCAAGCAGAGAGGGCCAGGATGCTGAGAAGCCCCTTGCCCAGACAAGAAGGGCTCAAGGGAGGCTGATGTATGGCAGCAGTGGAGTCCAGACAGACTAGAAACTGGACTGGCCTGCCAGGTGGAAAGGTCTGCTGGGGGGTGACCTTGGTTCATGACCTGGCAGTGAATCTGGAGAGGAGACAGAGTATGTCCTTCCTCTGCACCAGCCAAGCAGGCTTCTTTCTGGCCACCACACTTAGCACGAACTTTGCCTAGAAGTCCCCAGCCTTTTTCTTTGAGTTCCTTTAGTCTGACAGCAAAATTCAGAAGTGTAAAAATAATTCAGGTATTTGTATACACACACGTAGGTATACACAGAGCTGTATACACACGCACAGATACATACGTACACACAGAGCTGTATACACACACACACATATACACCTGGGCATTTTGCAGGTCCTTGCAGCAACCCTGGTAGATGGAGGAGCTGGACAACCAGTCTGCCCCCCCAGAGACACACGCCTGGCCCCAGTGCTGTTAGACCCTGTCGATACAGCGGTGCACGGGAGCATTAGAAGTCGGCTGCAATCTCCCCGCAGTCATTCATTTCGATGTTGGTGTAATTTTGGGGATGTCTGAAAAGCAACAGGCAGAGAAAAACGCATGATGAGTCGCACTGCTCCTTTGCACAAGGCAGCTAATCTGCATCTCTTTGCACTTAAAATGAAGCGTCTGGATGACCAGCCTTCAGCAGGCACAGAGTTTACTGAGGTCTCTGTTAATGTTTTGGGGAAAAACAGGAGCAGAACACCTGCCATCACCTGGCACATGTACATCAGCTTCAAACCACCCTGGTTTCTGAAAGAGATTCCTAAACCTGACTTACAATATTTTTTTTAATTCCTTTAAAACAGAATGTACAGAGTTTTCTGTTCCTCAAATGTATTTTAAGAACTTTCCTTATTTCGAACGCTTGCACACCAGCCCCCTATCCAGTGATGAAAGAAGATCAGTAAAAATTCATGGGAATAAATCCCCTGGGCTGGTTAAATAACCCATCTACTCTAACATTTATTTCAGACAAACATAGGGCCCGAGTGTTAAGCTGCTGTTTGCCTGCTAACACTGTTAGGGAATGCCAAATAATCACTTAAAGTGGTGTCATGTTATAATGTGGAAGCTGTTTCCCATCAAGGTAATCCTAAACTGTCCATTGCTTCCATCCTGCTCTAAGGAAGAGCTCTTCCCTGCAGCAAAAGCATCATCTCACTGCCCCTTGTGTGACACCAGCCTTCAGCCTTCTGCTCTCCCACCACAGCACGTTGTAAGATCTGTGGCTTTTACACTGTGCCCTCTGACACATCTAGCATTATCCACGGTTTTATCGGTGGTTATCTGAACCTGCTGCAGAACCTGGAGTCTGCCACATCAAAAGCAAAGAGCCTTTGCTGCAAAAATGAGGAGCAACATATTGGAGAGTTTGGATGCAGCATTGGAATGTAGGCGTTCACCCGAGTGAAGGAGCAGGTCCCTGCACAGTGATTAGCGAGGAAGCACTGGGGAAGGAGAAGGTGAGAGATGCAAGGCAGATGGGAAGGTGGTTTCTCACCTTTTGATGAAGCAAAATGCCAGGCTGACCAACAAGAACATGAGCAGGAGAGATCCCACGACAAACAAGGCAATTTCCCAGCCCTGGAAGGAAGCTGAGGGTGCAAAGGTAGAGATGGATCATTGTAGCCATGACCTTGCCCAGCACAGGGTGCCACCAGGAGGTCAAAGAATCACAGAGTCACAGAATGGGTCGTGTTGTGTTGTGTTGTATTGTGTTGTGTTGGAAAAGACCTTTAAAGATCATCTAGTTCACCCCCCTGCCACGGGCAGGCACATCTTTCACTAGATCAGGCTGCTCAAAGCCCCATCCAACCCAACCTTGAACACTTCCAGCGATAAGGCACCCACAACTTCTCTGGGCAATAACAGACTGGGCAGTCACAGCCTCCTGATCTGGAGCGCCACTCTCCCCCGTGGTGCTCCTCCCAGCTGCACCCCCCACAGCATGCTGACTCTGGCCAGCTCCAGCCTGGCTACCAGCTGCTGGTGCAAGCAATTGGCCTTCTGGGCTGTGTGTCCAACAGCTCCATAAGCAATGGGCTCCCCAGTGAAGCTTAGAGAAGATTTAGACACCCAAACTTCCAGTGGTATTGGCATGATAGGTCTGACTACCCCATCATGCTGGAGGAACTGACCATCGTTACCTCTCTTGTAATGACGAACCAGTTTCTAGAAGGCAGCTGTGTTTGGGAAGCATCACCAGAGGTCCCTGGTAGCTTGCCCTGCACTGCTCCTCTCACACGGAGACATGGCCTGACCCTGGCGCCAGCCCTGCTCGCTGTGCTGCAAGCAGATCACTGTGCTTAGCTTTGCCTCCTACTCACCACCGCTGTGCGACACAGACAGTGTATTTTTTGGGGCGATGCACTCAGGACTGATTTTCAGCACTCTCCCATCCACGGAGAAGGGGTCGGGGCTGGCCATGAAGCCCTGGCGCCAGGTCTCGATGGACTGCTGCTGCTCCAGCTGCTGAGCCCACACCTGGCCCCAGACCTGCACCAGGGAGCCCACGCACGTCAGGTTCAGCTCTGTGGAGAAACAACAGCGTGTCTTGGGTGGTCAGAAACCCTCCGTCTGTTCAGGAACACATTGTTCCCATGAATTCATGCCCTGCTCCAGGAATACCCTCCTGCTCCCATGCTTTTCACCCTCTTCACCCCACCGCTCTGAAATCACCCTGCCATGCTGTATTGCAGGTAACTTGAGCACACGCTCAACCTTTCTTTCAGTGGCAAAAGGGACTTGGAGTTGTCTACCCAACCCAGCAGAATACTTTGTACTACACTTCATAACTTCACGAACTCTACCTACTGGTGAGAGTTATCTGAAATTGTTCAAAGGGTCAGAAAGGTTTCTGGGCGATGGAGACAAAGCATAGCTGCGGAGCCTTCACTTCCTTACAAAATAAGCCAAAAAAATAATTCTTCCCATGCCCCAAAAACTGTAGGTCCCTAAGACTTCCAGAAGTGGCTTTTTGGTCCAAGTACTTTGAGTAAGTATAGGACACTGAAGGAGTGTGATAAAGAGTTGAGAACCAGAGTCCTCTAGAGTGCAAACAGCTTTTTGCTTTGTGGGTTTAGTATATTCATTGTGTCTGCCAGACATCTCAAGGCATCATCAGAGACTCCCAATCCTCACAGTCCCTCTAGCTTGCCCTTCCTCTAGTGAGCAACCCATGTCAGGCTCTCTCCTTTTCTCCTCACTGAAATCCTTTGTACCTACCACTGCTCCTCCAGGTCCCCTCCCTCAAGTGCAAGTCTGCAAGTTTGGCTTGAGAAGGGACCATCCTGATGACAAGCAGCTGTGGATGGGTGAAGGAGGGCACTGTGAACCAAACGAGCGTAGCGGGGCACCAACCTTGCAGGTAGAGTTCAGAGACTCCGCAGGAGCACTTCTCCTCTAGGGAGCTCACCAAGACCTTTCCCAAGCTTTCCAGCAGCCTCCTGTGGTGCAGGGTCCACATGGAACAGTCTAGAAGAAAAGAAGACGTAGTTTTCTGAGTGCAGCTTGGGGCTGTTAATAAGGTCCCAGCTGTGTGCCCCTTCCAAAACACTTGGCTTCATGCCTAAGCTCAGGAGCAAAGCTCCTCCACCCTCTGGGGCATCCCATCTTCCTCTGCCCCCCTCCGGCAGGGTGAGTCTTCACTTCTGGCCTTCTATGACCACATACGCCAGCTTCACTCCTTCACCAGCCTCCCAGGGGAGTGGGGAAGAGGCATGCTCACATGTCCCACCACACAGGTCAGTACAGAGTGGTCTGTCGTACTGGGAGAGAAAGGAGAGGTCCACTGCCTGCCCCTCTTAGGAGGGTGGAGGAGGAGGAGGAACCTCCGTTTCACTTTACCCAGATCTTGACTGCCCCAAGCTGATCCAACCATGGCATCGGCAGGGCCTGGAGACCATACTGTGCTTTTGCTTGCTGGCTCCGTGGTCAGGATTGAGCCACACTGCTTTGTTCCCATGGATGGGCTGAGACGGGAGAGTTTTCTGGCAGTGTCCCTGACCATGCCCCTGCCACCATGAGAGATCGGGGGTGGTGGTGGTGGTGGGGGACTTTCCTGCCATTGCTGCAAATCTAACACTGCAGAAAGGAAGCCCAAGAGCAGGGCTCAGCCCTGCCTGAGCAGAGACATCTCAAATGAAATATGTGGCCACCTTCATACAAGCAGATGCTGAAGCTGTGAGCAAGGCTGCCCTAGTGAGATGGTGCCATCACACCAACACATAGGTGTCTGCATCAGCTCTCCTGCAGCATGTCCCCTTTCATGACTGGGAGGCAGCAGGGTCCCCGCCAGCATCCCCCTCCCATGCCATGGGGGTCAGCTTCCCGTCCCCCCCCAACCCAGCCCTCCCACCCTGCACCAGTGGGGGCACCTGTCTCCACTCACTTGGTGTCAGAAGGCAGAGGTGGAGATCCACCGCAAAGGCGTCCTGAGGACAGCTGTTCTGCAGACCAGGGGTAGGGTCCGAGATGGCAAACTGCAGCTCTGTGCTGGCATTGCTGCAGGCGCAGCGGCTCAGGGACACAGGCCTGTCCCCAGAAGAGGAGTCAGAGCTCACCAACACATCACACACATTTCTTCCCACCTCCAACCACAAACCCCTCCTGGGTCCCAGTTCCTTGTGCTGTTGGGGATGATGGAGAATTTGCTGGAGCTGGAGCTGAAATCAACTCACAGAGCCACCACAGAGATGGGTCCAGCCAACCCCACCAGTTGGAGAAGACCTGGGCTTGGACAGAGCAAACCTGTTTGATCTGACTGGCTTCTGTAAGGAGTAAGATTGCTGCCTCATTACAACCAGCCTCCCAAAATTAAGAGTTTGTCCTCCGGGATAAGGAGTATTCCAAGCTACACAATATCTGCCCCTGCATTTCACTAGCCTATTGCTTCCCTCCCCACACCAGGGCTTAGAAACTTGGTCACGGTGTGAGGAAACAGCTTTTCTGGATGTGTTCATTCAGGGCTGGACTGTCAGGGTCAGCCCATGTGAGCTCTCCCACCAAACCGCTGCCCTGACCTTGTGAATAACCACCCCACCGAGGTTTCAGCAGTGTTTCAGACAACCAGAAGCGGGAGATCTGTTTCCTGGGAAAACCACGCACGTGGGGCTGCACTCTGTGCACGTGTGCTTGTGTGGGAGGCTACAAACGCAGAAACTCCTGTCACAACAAGTGGGACAGGGGAGCAGAGGACTTGCAGAGGATGGATTTAATTAACAGTGGGGATCTGGTGGACAGGAGGAACTCCGCTAGTATTCCCACCACAAGAAAGGCTCAGCCCTATTTGTTATTGAGTCCACCTAGGAGCAAAAGGGATGTCAGGTTTTGTTTTGTTCTGCTGCTCACAGGGATATTCTTTTTTGTTTGGTTTGTTGTTTGTTTTAGGTTTTTTGGGGTTTTTTTTGTTTTTAAAAAGAAAACGTTTGGCAAAGACTCATGTGCAGCTGCTATCTGTAAAGGTCACATCCCTTCATGTGACGCCATACTCATCCCTCGGGGGAAGCAAGTTAAGCGAGCAGTAGAGGAACAAAGTTCAATTCCCTTCGCCAAGGGTGGGGAAACGTTTTCCACTGCAGTGTGCTACCCTGTTTGTCACCAGAGCGCCGGTGAACACATTCAGCCGTACAGGACACAGGACAAGGCAGCAAGCTCAGCGGCATGCCAATCGGAGGCTCTGGGTGTGGGGAACCCAAAGGCATTTTCCCAGAGAAGCAACCTCACCTGTCATCCTTGCAGGGCACAGTGTAAGATGGTCCGAGGAAGTCCAAGTGTCCTCCAGCTGTGCTGGGCTCACATGTGTAAACCACGGCATCCACCAAGTTCTCTAATGTTGCCTTTGTGCCACCAGTAATCAAGCTGGTGCTGTACACTGCAATAGCGCTGGAGCCTTTGCTAGCAGCAGTGATGTCCTTGAAAGTCAGGTTTGTCCCATCTGGAAAGGCCAGGGGAATAAGTAGGGTGAACATCTAGATAGTGTTAGGCTGAGCCTTGAGCCTGAGAGGACAAGCTGGTAGCAAGGAGAACTCCAAGAACAGAAAGCGAAGACAAAATAATGGTAGTGACTGAGGCCAAGTAAAGCTGTAAAGAAGCAACTGTTTGCTGTGGATACAGGTTTCCAAACAGATCAAGGTTCCTCTGAGATGCAGAGTCCTCTTCACACAGCAGAGTCAGAATTTAAGGTGAACAAAAAACAAATCAAGATAAACGAACGTGCTGAGGAAACACCACCTCAGGACCAGGAGGAGGCAGCAGCACTGCAGGGCTCAGTGAGCATCAGTGGACATGGCATCAGTGAACAACCCGACAGTCCTGGTGTACCCTGCTTCTCCTGAAAGCCCCCTTGTCCTGGTTCCGGCAGGAGGAGCCTTCAGTGCTCCCGGTCCTTCTTCCCTGCACGGGGCATGGAGGAGGATTAAACACCTTCTCTGCTGAAGTGTGATGGAACAGCCCAGGCAGAACAAAGAGAGAAAAAAACAGGAATAAAGGACAGGAAAGACAAGGAAGAGTTGTTCCCCACACCGTGCACCCTCCTCCATCCCTTGCCTCAAAGCTGCTCAACCACCTGCCCGTTTGTTTGAAGACAGACCACATGCCAGGTCCATGCCATCAGCCTCACCATGCCCGTGCCCTCCGTCCAGTGCAAACACGAACAGCCCCGTGGCTCCGATGGTGCCCCTCAGTGGGACACTGGCATGCGCCTTGTCCTCCGACCCTGAGAAGAAGACCAGGCTGAGCCCGACCAGGCTTGTGCCAGGCTTCCCTTCCAGCTCAACGAAGCGATAGGGGGTAGTGCTGCCAGCCAGGCACAGCTCGCTGATGCGGATGGCAGGAGGGACCAGCACTGAGGAGCTGCTGCAGAAGTTCTCCCCCAGAGGCGTCACCATGGTCACCTGCAGAGAGATACAAAAGCCACTGCCACTACTGCTGCTCCGATTTCTTCAGGTGGAGTGATGGCTGCTCACGGCATTACCTCTTGTTTGTGCCTCCTGCAGCTACATGGTGAGGCCCGAAGAGGATGTGGTGGTTCTGCCTCACACCAGCTGCTCTCACTCCCACCAAGGAGCTCAAGGGTTGTCCTGACTGCAGGGTCCCATCACCACACATCCCCATCACTGCCTTTGCTCCCACCCTCAGGACTAGGAACAATTCTCTTCCCCTGCTATTGGGAGTACTTCTACACTTGTCTCCAGTCCACTGAATCACTTCCTTATGGTCCTCTCCCACTGCAAACCTCCCTTCAAATGTGACCACTCAGCACTTCCCTCCGGCCAGCAGATCTCTTCTGTTTCTAGAGCAGTTTTATTGTCCCAGTTTTGGACCTAAGCACACCTCTGTGCTGGCCCAATCCCATCAGTGGAGCAGCAAAGCCCACCCTTACCCGGCTTTGTGCAGGACGGGCATATATATTCTGTCATGTTCCTTCAGGGGCACTATGTGAAACCAGACATTTTGAAATAAAAAGGAACAGTTCGGATGAATTAACACAAATCAGTGACACCAGTGGTTGAGGCATGTCCTTCACACATTGGCCCTGCAGGAAGCTGGGTTTCAGGGATGTAACGTGCTGTACCACACATCCTGAAGGTGGGACCAAACAAGCAGAGGTGAAGAGGTAGCTCCACATCTGGTTTGGGGTAACTTGAGAGTCCAGGATGCTGCCCAAAAGCATCTGGGATTGGTGGCATGTAAGCTGTCTTCAGAGATCTCCTGGTTCTGAGCCATGCTGCACAGGGCAGGGAGCTGTTACCTGGCCAACAAGAGGCAGGTGAAGGGGACAGAGAGGTGAGGGCTGGTGAGAGCATCAGCAGATGGCAGGAGGTAGACGTGGCTCACCAGAATGCCCTGCTCTCCCAAATAAAGGACATACTGAAACACGACCACTGCCCTCCCAGTGACTATGGATAGAGAAAGGACACTGCCCTCCTAGTGACTACGGATGGAAAAAGGACATCTGCCATCCACCCACCTGGAAGCTGCTCTGGAGTTTTGTGCTCAGGCTGTGGCAGCGGCTCAGAGACTCATCCTCAGTGCTGTGAGAATCGTTTTCATACAGGATGCTTTGCCCTGGTACCAGCACTTTGACTAGCTGGTCTGCCTTCTCTGGCATTCGGGACGTGTAGACCACAGCATCCACCAGCCCCTCTGCAGTCACAGCCATGTTCACCGTGTAGAGGGTGGTGTTGCTGCAGTAGAGAGCCACAGCGTCTGCCCCATTCTGGATGGTGTTGGGGGGCAGCCTGATCATGGGTGCTGGGTGCACAGCGCTGCTCCCCACCAAGAAGTAACCCAGCTCATCTGTGTGGTGTCCAGAGAGGTCCAACACCTGGTAGGCCCGGTTATTTTTACCATTGTAGAGAACCAACCAGTATCCCTGGAGGTCGAAGCGTGTCTGTCCAGTGTAGAAGAGTTCAATGTACTCTGCATCCTCTTCTCCCCCTGGGTTGTCTGGGTTCACCTCGTTGATGAGTAGCTTGGCCACTTGTGCAGAAGGCTCTTGAGTCCCTTCTGGTATCTCTGATGGGACACCTTGGAAAGCAAAAATGTCATGAATATGGGCCTAAGCACAGAGCCCCAGAAAAACAACACAATGTTGCACACTATTTTGCTGAGGTGAGACCAAATTCAGCAGAGGACTGAGGAAGCTGGCTCAGATTTTTATCATCTGTGTGCTCCATACTCTTTCGAAGAGCCCTGGCAACACTGGCTAATGGCAACCTAAGAGCTTGCTGCTCTTGCAGATAATGAGCAATATGGGCTCTAGTGACCATATACGATAGAAATGGAGGGGATCTTTGCCAGAGTCGGGGGAATGGAGGGACGGACTTGTCCCTCCTCTAGTGGAGCTAGACCCACATCTCCACCCTCAAACACATCATATACCCCAACCTGCAAGAACGATGACTGGTACCTGGAGGCAAGTCTGGCACATTAATATCCTTGGAGCAGGAGCTTTCTGCTGTGATGTTCCTTCTGTCAAAACTCACAAGTCTGGGCGTCTCCAGGAAGGTCTTGAAGGCTAGCAGCAGGCTGCTCAGCTGGTCCTCTGACTTAGCAGTTAGCAGAGTGGTGAACACAAGCCCCAGGTCCTGGCAGGCTGCCTTTGGCTCTGCAAAGACAAGCAGAGAACTGCCTCAGGTTGCCCATGCTGCCAAAGACCCACTTTCTCCTGGAAGAGGTACAGAGCTCACCAGCTCATCTCTACCACCGCCGCCCTCCTGGTCAGACTGACTCAGGGCAGCTCATACCACCTGCACAATGCTGTGAGCTCTGCCAAGGGGCATCCTGGGACCAAGTCGCACAGCACACCAGGGTACTGTGCTCATCCTTTTGAAGCCTTGTAGTCCCAACAGTGGACAGAATGGTTTCTTTGGGTGGTGTCTAAACATAAGCTAAATACAATGCTGCTGACAATGCAGGCTGCAAAGTCATGGCTCTTCTTCATGTGTCTGCGTGTGCTCATCACACTCGCGCACTAACCTAGTGAGGATATGAGAAAAGCAACACAGGCCCGTAAGGCCACTTGCATTTCTGCTGCAACTTGGCTTAGTTCGTATGGATCATAAGGTCAGCTGGGCAACAAACTCCTAGTCAAGATGTCAACCTGAGTGCAAATGCGCAAGGACAAAATAGCTGGTGGTCTGCAGATGAGCACCGATGTGTGTTGGTGGAGCTGCAGCTGGAAGTGCTCTGCAGAACACGAAAGAACAGGACCATGTGCTGCCTAAAAATGGCATCTGTGTCATCAGCACGAAGTTCAAATTAGCCGGGATCCAAGCCAGGAGGATGCAATGCAACAGAAAGCACAGGGCTGAAAATCAGAAGTGAATGGACGTTAACGACTGGTGGTCCCTGGACTTCCCTGCTCCTGTCCAGCTCACCTTTGAAGTAAGCAGCAGAGACTCCACAGCTGCAGGATCCATCGAGGGCCTGGACCAGAGTCATCAGGATCTCTTCTGACTTCAGAAACCACTCCTGGCAATCTAGGAAAGAAAAAGCCAACTGTTACCCAGCCAGTGCAACCTTGGTCACGGGATCCATCTCATTCTGGGATGGGTGCAGCTCCTGCTTATCCCTCCGAGGGCCCGAAGAGGCTTCACTTTACACCGAGCAGTTGGGTGTGGGTCTCAAGACTGGAGAACCTCAGCTTGGCACGGGTTGCCATGAAGAAAAATATTGCAGAAAACTGTCAGATGTCCCAGCTGCATTTCCCTTGGTGTTACATTCACACACTCCAGCACAACTCTGGAAGGTCTTTCTGGACAGCTTTGGCTTTGTGGACGTGCTCTTGTCCTTACGAAGTCCTGCCCAGAGAAGCAGAAATAACTAATGCCCACCTGTTACATGAAAGCAGAATGAGACAGTCTGGCTGAAGCGTTTGCTGGGGCAATCATTGAACATGCCAGGGGTGGGCCTGCTGAGGACGTAGGACAGGGAGTCCCGGGTCACCGAGCAGCAGTTGCACTGACTCATGGACACATCTCCCAGCTGGTGCCTGCAAGAGACAGACACATAAATAAAAGAAAACATGACCTGCCAGACAGAGACCTGAGTGCTCTTCACCCACCGGTCATCTGCCTGCACCAGAGGATGAAACCATGCACTTCAGACTTGTCTCTTCACAAGGTTTGGAGAGATATCCCATCTTCATCAGTACCCACTTGTCTCAAAAAAAGCCCAAGAGCTCACTAAAGCTTGAGAGAGAAGAGCACGGGCTTCATCCAACCCTTTGTCTTCTAGCACTGGCTGCTTTTTTTACTGATCTGAAGACAGGCAAGATAGTACAGATACACTTGTACTCAGCCTGGGACCACTGGGAAGAATGGTGGCATCCAGAGAAAGTGGAAAGGCAGCACCTGAGGTTGAACCACTTGAGCACAGGCCCTCAACTCAAAGGCAAAGAGCATGATTGGGAGGTGGACCAGATGACCTTTAAAGGTTCCTTCCAACCCAAACTATTCTACGATTCTATGAAGACCCACTGTGAGGAGCTGCACAGAGCAGAGCTGCTCAGGGAAGGAGACCACCTCCTTACGGGACAAGTGCAGGTTTTGTTTCACAAGAAGGAGGAAGATGAGCAAAGGAAGGAATGGGAATATGCTGTGAATAAGTGGTGGCCCTGTGACAGCAGTAAACTACACCTTTTCCTGATGCAGTTGATTCCAATGGTAGTCTCAAATGGTCTTTTCACAGGCCCATCCAGAAAGGGTGAACCTCCTCCAGCTACAGAGCCAAGATATTGGTATTTAGTTGACAGTTACACACAGAGGTCATCTGGTGCTTTGCCATCAAAACCATAGATAAGAGCTTGACCAGATCTTTGTTTGCTTATTGCCTAGTTCTACACACCCCACCCCGTCTTCATGGGCATGGCACCTTGCTGCCTCTGCTCCTCCACCTGCTGCACTGTCCTTTACTCACTCTGTTGTCTTCTTCCTCCTGTTAGTAAAGCATGTCTAAAATGTGAAGGAAACAGTTCTCATGGCTCACAAAAGTCTGAAGTAACTAACATTTCACTTAACCCACAAAAAGAAACCCAAAACCCCAAAAGAAAGGGGCTCAACCCAGAATGAACAGAAACCCCGCTTCAAGTCCTTGCTCTGGATGAAGCAGGGCAGGCATTTCCTCCTGGGTTAGGCGAGCGATACTGAAGTCCCTCCCTTGCCTTCATTTTGACCTGAAATTCCTAAGAAAAACCTTTTCTTGTTAAAAGTGGTCCTGGAAAATTTATTATATTGACTATTACTCTTTTATAAATAATAAATTACAAAATAATAACCAGCAATCATTTGATCAGAAAATTCCTCCTCAATAACTTTATTCTACAACTGTACAGCTGCACCAGGACTGCTGTGGAGAGGGGGACACCTACAAACTCAGCCCCGGTGGTGGAAAAAGGCCGGGACTCAATGCTACCATGAGGATACCCTTGACTGGAGGTGGCCCTTGTCTTTCAGTCCCGACTGAGGTTTGGGACACCAAGCAACGGTGACTCTGGTGCCAAACTCTCCTCCCAGCCCTGCCCAGCCCAGCCCAGCCTCTCACCGCTTTTCCTTGTAGGCAGGTCTGCCAGGGGTCAGGGTCTCCAGCAGCTCAGGGTTTGGTTCCTCGTTGCTTGTGTACATGAAGGCATCCAACAGGCCGGTCACTGGCAGCGCCGCCCCTGGGACAAAACTGCTGCTGTTGCCTCTGTAGAGGGCAACGGCATTGGGGCCACCTCTGAGGACAGGACGGGTGATGTTCTCCGGGAACGGCAGATTCACTGCACACCAGGCAAAGAAAGGATCAACAGTGGCACGTAAGCAACAGAGGAGTGATACCCACTATATGGGAAACCAGCACCTCTTTGGTCCTGGAGAGCAGGACACAGGAACTCAGAAAGTGGCTGAGGTTGTCTTGTTATTGTAAATTTGGCATTCGCTGCCCCATCTTTCTGCTCACTAACATTTCTCATGTTTGCTCAGCCTGAATTTCCCCATTCGTGGCCGGATCCACAGTGTGGAGGAGGCTGGAGGGGGAAATTTAAGCAGAGTTTGCCCTGCTATTTTGGTTCTGTGAACAGAGAAGCTGAATTATGTGTAAACAAGGGAACTGGAAAGCAAGTGCTGATGTGACTTTGTCTACGCTAAAGTCAATTTTGAATTCTAAAAGACATCTTCAAAATCCACTAACCATTCAGGTAGCAGTTGCTTTAATAATACGCAAAAATATTTAAGAATTTACATTTTATTCTAGTATTTAACAGTCCATGGTTTTACAAACACAACCACTCTACACATACACACGCACATATTCAGCAAAGGCCCAAGATACCAGCACACAGAATTAAGGTTGAGGTTTAGTGGAGCTTTCCAATTTCATGAGCTTCCCAATTTTATTCCTCGTATTTATGGTTCCCTTCACAAGCTATTTCCCCAGCACCCAGTAGGAACTATTAAAGCTATTAAAAAGCAGCAGACTGCCAATATTTCAACGCTTCTCCCTCCGTAACCAGCTCCAGGGAACAAACATTAAAGGAGGAACCACATGAGAGGCAGAAGAGTAAGAAGTGGTTACGCCTTGATAAGTGCCACCAGGGCACCTCCATGCTAAGGGGCAGTCCTGTGTTTTACCCCTGATGCACCCCTGCCCAGGGGACTGCTTTTCCCCTCCCTGACTAATCTGGTGGCCTTCTACAATGGAGCAACTGCATTGCAGGATAAGGGGACAGCAACTGCTGTCATCTGTCTCGACTTCTGCAAGGCCTTTGACATTGCCCCACACAACATCCTTGTCTCTAAATGGAAGAGATACGGGTTTGATGGATGGACTATCAAATGGATAAGGAATTGGCTGGATGGCCGCATCCAAAGAGTTGCAGTTAACAGATATATGCCCAAATGGAGATCAGTGACAAGAGGTGTCCCTCAGGGGTCCATATGGTCCAATATCTTCATTAACAACATAGGCAATGGGATTGAGTGCACCCTCAGCAAGTTTGCAGGTGACACCAAGCTGAGTGGTGCAATTGATATGCTTAAGGGATGGGATGCCATCCAGAGGGACTTTGACAGGCTGGAGGAGTGGGCCCATGTGAACATCATGAAGTTTAACAAGGCCAAGTACAAGGTTCTGCACATAGGCCAGGGCAGTCACCAGTATCAGGACAGACTGGGAGATGAATGGATTGAGAGCAGCCCTGCAGAGAAGGACTTGGGGTTACTGGTGGATGAAAAACTGGACATGAGCCAGCAGTGTGCATTCGCATGCCAGAAAGCCAAAAGCAGCATGGCCAGCAGGGCGAGGGAGGTGATTCTCCTCCTCTACTCTGCTCTTGCAAGATCTCATCTGGAGTACTGCATCCAGCTCTGGGGGTCCTAGCACAAGACCTGTTAGAGCAGGTCTATAGAAGGGGCCACGAAAATGATCCAAGGGCTGGAAGAACCTCTCCCATGAAGAAAGGCTAAGAGAGTTGGGGTTGTTCAGCCTGGATAAGAGAAGAGTCCTGGGAGACCTTATTGTGATCTTGCAGTACTTAAAGGGTGTTTATAAGAAGGACGGAGAGAGTCTTCTTACCAGGGTCTGTACTGATAGGACAAGGGGTAATGTTTTTGAACTGACAGAGGGTAGATCTAGCTTAGAAGAATATGGAAGAAAAGTTTTATGATGAGGGTGGTGAGATGCTGGTCCAGTTTGTCCATAGAAGTGGTGGATGCCCCATCCCTGGAAGTGTTCAAGACCAGGTTGGACGGGGCTTTGAGCAACCTGGTCTAGTGAAAGATGTCCCCACTCACGGCAGGTGGAGTGGAACTAGATGATCTTTAAGAACCCAAACCATCCTATGACTCATTTGAAAGTTTTCACACTGGCCTCTGTCAAGGGAGGACTTTTGCTCCAGTGCTCTCACAGCTTTAAGTTCTCTGCAGTGAAAGGCAGACAAGCCTTACAAAGGCAGGACTAACAGCCAGGGCCATTTTAAGAGCTCCTGTCCCAAATTTGAAGTGGTCGGGTTAAATCAAGTGGTCAACTTCACATAGATTGCTCAACATAGAGTCACTGAAAGTATCCTTTTAGGATGATTAAAATGTAATCACACAGTGTCATTGGGTGGTTTTGAGGCAAAACCTTCAACAAAAGCGTGTGTGCAGCATGCTTGAGACATCTTGACAAAGCCTCATTGGAAAAAAATGCCAAAGCATATCTCCAGCCACCTTCTTGACTTGAGTGAGCCTTGAGGAACAGTTAAACATAATCCTTAGAACTTTCCTGCTTAGTCTGCAAGCTGGTTGTGCTTTGCCATCACTTTCTTTGAAGCCCCTTAGCTTACTGACTGCTAACAGCCCCAGCCCATCCAGAGATAAGAGCAGAGCACCTTTCCTGGTGAGAAAAGCAGAGCTCACATGGGCAATAAGCTCTTCTACTTGGGGTGAGAGCGTATTTGGAGCAGTCTGAGTTGTAAAAAGGAGCTCAAAGCTTTAAAAAAAAAAAAGTTTTAGAGGCAAAAGTATTTTAATTTTTATGGGAACTTTGTAAGGGATATATTCCCTTTGTAAGGGAATACTCCCCGACTCGAATCACGAGTCAGTGAATTACACAAGACATATGCAGAGTCATTGTCTCCAGCTGCCAAAATCTTCTTCTGAGGTACACAAAATAACAAGATATTTCTTCCTCCGCCGGTGGCCTGGAAGAAATTTTGACTGTTGGGAGGAAGTTTAGGTCGCAGCTTCAAACAGCTGGTACACTGTGACCTACACTTGCAGATGGTGCAATGGAAAAAAAGCCCTTGTGCTTTTTCGAGAAGAGAGTATGTATCTGCTGTGACTGACCACCAAGTTACACAGAGAGAAGGGGGACACTTCAAGGAGACCTGGCGCAGTCAGGGTCCCGCAGCAGACTGGCAGGGGGCAGAACCGCGTCCTCCTAGGCAGCAAAGGCACACATGGGCTTCTGACCTCCATGAGGTCCCCCACCTGCAGATCTACCACTTCTGTGAGACATACAGCCTCCACTTGTTTGTCCTGAAACCACCTCATTCTACCTTCTTTTGATGCCCTTTAGTTTTTGTACCAGTGGAAAGAGTAAGCAAGCGATCCCTGTCCACTTTCTTCAGGCCACTCACATTTCTGAAACCTCTGTCAGGGCCCTCCTCAGCTCTCCCTTTTCTAGGCCTACTTAGTTATTTCTTCTGTGGAAGCATTTCCAGAGCACTATCCATCCTCGCTGACTCACACCAGGTACAATTAAAGACACAAGCAAACCATGAATTTATACAGTGGCCTAAAAGACGCCCTCCATTCTTTCCTCTTCTCCTAATAATTTCTAATATTTAATATGTTTTATATAATTCCTTTTCCAATAATTTCAAACATTTGATTTGCTTTTTTTATCTGCCACTGAGTTCTGAGTCACATTTTCACTGATCTCTCAGAATGCCAAACAATAAAAATGGACAGCATCCTCCAGCCCCAAACTTGACTGATTGCTCTCCCACAGCTCTGAGGTAGTCATCAGAATGCAGTCCTTACCTGGGGTTTTGCTTTGTGCGGGACCGATCAGAAGTAGCCCATCCAGTGAGGTTTTGCCATAAACATCCATGGTCAAATAAATGTCTTTGGTCTGACCATCGATCAACACCAGGACAATGTCCCTCAGCATGGTGGAGCGCGGACCCTGAAGCTCTATGAACTCGAATTCTTCGGAAGAAGACGCAGGAAGGACCTCACTGATCAGGACGGCAGATGCGTTCAGCTGAGAAGTTAGGATGCAGTGGTTGTCTGTGCCTGGAGTGGGCATGGCCACTTGGAAGATCCACTGAGAATCTGACCCACGGCACCTTTCTATTGACTCATCCATGGTCCTGAAGGTGGAGTCCTCCAGGAAAGCATCTCTGCCAGGGGTCAGTACCCTGACCAGTGTGTCTGCTCTGTCTGTCTTCTTAGTCTTATGGACCAAGGCATCTACTAGTCCATAATTTGTGACACCCATGCCTTCCTTGTAGTTCCCTTTTCCATAGTAGAGAGCAATTGCGTCAGGGCCGTTCTGGATAGTGTTCTTCGGAATAACCATAGCAGGGTTCACAGAAGAGGAGCCAATGAGAAAGAGCCCTTGGTTGTTAGTAACTTTGCCCTGGAGGTTTAAAACTTTGTAGGCTCGGTTTCCATTGCCGTTGTAGAAGACCAGATAGTAGCCATCCAAGCGGGCTGTTTGACCGCTGGTGTGATAGAGCTCCACAAACTCAGAAGTGTCCTCTCCTGGGCTGTCAGCATTGACTTCATTAATTAAGAGGGTATGCTCTGTTTTCTGGTCCCTGGGGCTTTTTATGAGATTCTGAGCAGCAGCCTTGGGAAACCAGACGTACACAAGCCCCATCAACCCAACCAGCCAGATATCTCCCATGGTGAAGGCTGGGATTCTTTTTTTTTTCAGTTCAAATCTAGAGGAGATTTGAATCTCCACAAACAGAGCACAGAAATAGCCACAAATAGAGCACAGATGGAAGCTGCCACCACTTGGCTGTCGCAGCACAGCAACTCTAGGCCTCTGACCTGGATGCTGACTGGCAGAGGCACTGGCAGAGGCACACTTCTCTGGGCAGTTCTGGTTTGTAAAGCAAAGCCACAAGCACCCAAAATTCAGACTGAGAAGAGTAGGGCTTGAACAAGAGGTTTCCCAGCTCCAGCTCCTTTAAAAGTTGGCGGCAGGGAAGGGAGAAAAGAATAATCTCATTAGGAAACACAGAAACACACCAGTGACATTTAACAACCTTAAAGCCCCACAATTTTTCCTCCTTATGTTACTCCAGAGGTTTATCAAGACGCGTAACAGTGACTGCGATGGGACAAAGCCAGTTCTCAGTGTTCGAAACCCCGAGACTTGTGTGAACACTGAAAGTTTCACAGTGCCTGTGTTAATAGTTATTTCCCCGAGTCCGATTTATTCCATGGGAATTAACACAAAATGGCACTGAAGATGATAGTAACCATCTTCTTCATCAAGGTGAGGGTGGGGAAGGAGAGGACAGATGGGTTTGGCTGGATCCTGGTCGCCTGCATCACAGAGCAGCTCTGCTGACCACCACACCACCCAAGCCTGCTGCAGCTCCGGCAGATGTGGAGTATGTCTGCAGAATAAGCAGTAGGGAGGAATAGACAATTTAAGATGCTTGAGACATCTCCTCACAAACAGGAGGAAACTGCAATAACTCCAGAGCATGAAGCTGACAGAGATTCCACAAAAGCTGTGGCTGCCCCATCCCTGGAGGTGTTCAAGGCCAGGTCGGACGGGGCTTTGAGCAACCTGGGCTGGTGGGAGGTGTCACTGCCCAGGGCGGGGGGGTTGGAACAAGATGATCTTTAAGGCCCCTTCCAACCCAAACCCTTCTGTGATTCTATGAAAAGAACAGTCCCCGAGGGAGAGGTGCCCCTGAGCCGCTCTGCCCTGTAACACCTTTCCTTTTTGCTGTGCCTGGCAGCCCTTAAACTCGTCTGCTCTCAGGCTGCAGGAGATGGACGCACACACGTCTCATGCCGCCACCCCACAGGACCAGCCCCGGCGCTGCTCCCTCTTCTTGTTAGATGGTCACTATCAAAAAGTTCTCTCTTCCCTTTCAGGCACAGTTCAGCCCCAAAATCACTATCAACATCTCCTCTCTGGCAAACTCTTGCTCCTGCCCAAGCCTTCCACGAAAAAGAAGCTGTCTCAGCTTCTCCTGCCCAAACCCATCCTCACAGGTGCCCTATTTCCACGGTCTCTCCCCACTGCAGTTAAAGGCAGGAGGAAGGACATGGGGAGCTCCTGTCCGGGGGCGTGCGCAGGGCAGGAGGGAACCCAGCAGAAATGGGAGAAAACAGCAGGAAAAAAAAAAAAATAACAACCCACCCCACACCCCTTCCCAAAGCTGGAGGGACCGGCAGGGCAGGAGCGGGGCGGGATCCCCCAGCAGCCCCCTGCCCCCGCTGCGAGGGGAGGAGGGACGGGGACGGGGACCGGGACAGGGACGGGGCCGGGGAGAAGCCTCCCTCCTGCCCGGGGAGGC